TCCGTAATTCAGATCGATAACCCACTCACAACACTGAACTCAACCCATGCCGCTTTACTCAGTATATTTGCTAACGCCAAAGAGTTCGCGTTTTATTTAGTCATGGTAGAATGGAGATAAACATACTGTGTTTTCAATGTAGAGCTAGGTTACCTGTAGATTTAACCGCGCTAAATTTAACATTTGAAACCTGACGCTGCGCGTTCGGTTCCAAATTCAATTTAGCGGGGTTAAATCTACAGGTAACCTAGCTCTACATTGAAAACACAGTATGTTTATCTCCTAATTAAACACATAATATTATAATTATTTTTAATAGAAACCGTATCTTAGTTTGTTCTTGCACTGTATCATATCGTGTATTTCATCTGTATATGTGTAATGTGTATATGTATAAATGACTACACTTTTACCGCATATTCTGCAACAGACAATAATTACTCGTCTTATGATTGTCTCTCCATTTACCATGGCTGACTGCACTAATACCCTTTTAACAGTGGACACCGATATCAGTATACAGACAGACAGATAGTTTATTTTATGTCTCGCCTCAATTTACATATAAAATGCTATAAAAATAACATTAAATAAAATAAAATGAGCCACTCCTATTGGAGTTATGAGAGACAAACTACTAGAAGTAGTATAACCATAGTTTAAAAACATTATCGAAGATAAAATTCTGTACAACATATATGCAAATTAAAAAATATATTAGGCTTTATATAAAATATTACTACGCAGCTGTAAAATTGCCTTGCAGGTTTTGGCACTAAGCGTTACAACACTGGGACTGGCCAGGATAAAACAAACTTTCACAATATCACATTCATCTTTAAAACCACGCCACACTTCATTACATTTATCTAATAAAACCTGTCGAACGTCATTATAAGTTGGGCAGTGCAATAGAACATGGACTTCGTCTTCAACACACGTATCACAATAAAAGCACACTCTCTCGTTGATAAGTAGGTTTGTATATCGCCCAGTCTCGACTCGTTTTGGGGCTACACCACATCTGAATACAGCTAGAGAGCGTCTGTTAGGCTTTGACATAGGAATCTGATTAAAATAAGCAACATTATATTCGTTCTTCAGCTGATTATATAGTCGTAGCTTGTTGCCTCCGTTACCGCTTCGACTGTTCACTTGACTCACTGAAATTTTCCATTCCTCCTTGAAGCGTTGAAATACAGTATCTCTCACTTTACCTCCAATTTGACGATAGTGATACGTGTTATTTGTGGAGGTAAAAACAGATAGACCTAATTGTTTATATTCGTGTTTACTCTGAAGTTCCAGTTCCTCTTGTTGTTTAGTGCGTGTTTATTGGCCCACACAAATACTTTTCTTGTTAATCTATGTTGTAGAAGGGAGCTGCAACGTTTGTAGAACTTTGAGATAGTTTCCCATTGTCTTACTATTGGGGGAATCCACCCCATGTCTCCAGATACAGCATTATTCGGAGCAAACTTTCTCAATCCCATGAAAAATCGCATAGCCTTGTTCTGGACTGCGTTGATAGGCTACATGTAGGCCTTTTGTTCAAAAAGGAATATGCAGGAAATTATATGTAACAATTAACTGTGTAGTAATTACTTGTTTGAATGTTATCAGTTTTGCGTTCTGAGATACAGTGATGTAAGCATCTTCTACAATTAACAATACATGTATATAATAAAATACAGAACTCTCTGCCGGAATTTTTTCGTGGAAATCATTCGATCAAGTAAAAATGACTGCGTGACAAGACGAATAAACTATTTATACCCGATAAAAGAAACTGCCTTATTTTAGGAACAGTGCTATAACAGGACATTTGAAATTTCTAACAAGCAGATACATTAGAGACAGTGACTAGACTACATGTACGTAATCCGTATCAATCAAAGGTGTAAAATAATTGAAAATCATATCTGTTTTATTATTACTATATTTATTACAATGCAAATAGTTTAGTGATACATTTTTCAGAGGAGAGGGCATACACCCAAGTATATTGCTTCCGTGTGTGAATGCAGGTAATACTTGGCAACTCAGTTCTCAGTTTTATACCGGTTGTATATCTGAATTTGTATATCGAACCATGCGTACAGCATGACAATTACTTGCTAGTCGTCAGTCTGCAACACACATAACACGGTCAAACAATTTTGGGCACCGCTTTTGCAAGTTATTTAGTACAATATTGTTTTATTAAAATCTATTTCAATTTGATTCACCATTTTCCCTATTTCATTCCATGCATGTTTATGTTGCTACATCTTATTGCTCATGTCCCCAAGTATTATAAAACACTTTAATGTTTCTCTCTCCTAATCTAACGTTAAAACATTTCAGGTCATTACCATCATCTAATACACAAGAGTTGATACCAAGACATATCTAATTCGGTTTTATGGTCTATGCGGTCTTACAATTGATTTAATTAGTCTTTAAATGTTATGTCTGGTACATATTTTCACAAACAGGACTGTTAGCTGATATAAGGAAGGTAACATCCAGTTGAATTCGCCGTTGACGTATTTACTTCTTTTTTAATCAAATATGAGGACTGTATACGACATACGTTAGTCACTTAACGACGTTTCTACAATTAATATCTTGAATAAGCCCTTAATATGCTAGTTGTGACAGGCCTAGGGATGATGGTATGGTAGCTGTAGCACACAGATTGACAGTCGTTGTTACGTGCGTCACTAGGTAATTAGTACAGCATTGAACTTGTTGATTGTTACTATACTTTGAGGATTTCTGTGGCCAGGGGCGGACGTAATTCAAACTCCTTCCACACTGACACCGCATCAAATATATTTGTGTACCGATTACATAACTCTTACGGACAGGGTGGGATGGTAGTTCACCGGACGACACTGTGTATATTTGGCGGCTCCTTTGATATCTCCTCCAAACATACTTTTATCGAATGACCCATTAAACGATGATACACATCTCGTTGAATATTACAAGGTACTAATTCATCTTTCATAAACCTTTTTTGTCTTTGTGCTTAATATATCCACATATCAACGAAAATATGTAATACATGTATCCACAAAAAAATATACATATACAGGCTAGGTATTTGCCCACAGCAACACCTGCATAACTGTTTATTCACGCGTGGTGTGGTAGATCGTAATTGACCGAGAGCAGGTATTGTAGAATCACCTGTAAATAATGCCGACACTGTAATTAGATACAACGTACTAATGAGAATATGAGAACTATCATAAGAAGGCTGTTGTTTTTTCTGAACTGTTACCATTTTCATACCAAAAGTGACAATGCATTTAAAAGTTGCTTTAGTGTCATAATATTCACTCAAGTTTTCCTCAATCGCCTGTGAACATCGCACCGCATATAATTAAATAATTATTTCGAAATTTCGTTAGAATGTGAGATATTCAGCTAGACGTTATGCAATGAAAGACGAATCGGGTTTTTTCCCAATTAAAATACGCGCACGTGTACCTGTATATTGCATATCTAGTGTCACTTAATTTTCCAGTGTGATGTATCAACGAGACATAAAATGGGAAATGAAAAAGAAACAAACTAAACTTTAATTCGTTGGAAAATAACGCCAATGAATTGGTGTAGACGCGCATGAATTCGTATGATAAACTGTCAAAACGTTTTGAGAGATAAGGCCGGGTTCATTAAAGATCGTTGCAATATGTAAAAAAGGTGAAATTTGTAAAACTTCTGCAAAGGAAACATCCAACCAAAGGCCCTTTTTTAAATAGTAATGTAATGATATAATACAGAGTATGGTTCACATGATACAATATACTTTGTAAACAATTAGTTAATTTTTAAAGGGAACGACGAAAACATGGGCGAAATATTTTAATAACTCCAAAAATTAGTTGAATTAAGTAAAAATGAGTTGAATCATGTGTCATGCTTATAATCCCTTAATGTATTTGCGCAACTAAAACTGTTGAGCAAAGGAAAATATTCTCAAACCTTTTTTTCGCCCATGGGCGAAATATTTCAATATCGCTATAAAATCGTTGAATTAAGTTAAAATGAGTTACGTTTTGTGTCATGATACTTGAAAAATATACATATATGTATTTGCGAATCAAAAACATGAGTTTTGAGTAAAGGAAAATATTCTCGCCCATGGGCCAAACCTTTTTCTCGCCCATGGGCGAAATATTTCAGTATCGCTATAAAATCGTTGAATTAAGTTAAAATGAGTTAAATTTTGTGTCATGATACTTGAAATAAATAAATTTATGTATTTGCGGAACAAAAACATGAGTTTTAAGTAAAGGAACATATTCTCGCCCATGGGCCAAACCTTTTACTCGCCCATTGGCGAAATATTTCAATATCGCTATAAAATCGTTGAATTAAGTTAAAATGAGTTAAATTTTGTGTCATGGGCGACATAGTGTAAATATTGAGTTTTTGAACAATTCTTTTTTCATTTTTTCTTCCTTGTTATGTTCCCATGAAAACAGCATGTTTTATTTTGTAAATACCTTTGACCGAGACTGGGCAAAGACCGTAGAGTTTCTGGTCTTTTGGGTTTCCAGAATTAAAATGGGACGTGTTCTTATTAGTCCAGACATAATTAAGCCAGCTTGATATACACACTGCAAGATAAACACACATCTCCATCCTCCCTTGTCAACTACAACACAGCCATGCATCTAGAGTTTAAAGGACACTGACTGACACTTGGTTATCGTTTCATCACGCCGCTTCATGCTCATACAAAATAAGACGTGCAAAAGTAGCTTTGATCTTTGGTAATCTCATCAATACAATATTACACAACTTTGAAGACGCAGTTGATACTATTGTTATGCATTTTCATTGTGAAAAAACGCAACAACATTTTCAGCAAATCTGAGTACAAATCATGTTTTTTCGGGAACAGTCTATTTTTATTCAAGGCAATCTAGTCCTAACCCCATGGCGTTTATGTGTATGAAAACTGTTTGCAAAACTTACAATTACGTACATGCTTTTTCCAGAAACATCTGGTGCTGTTCCTACTGCTGGTACACCCTGTTTTAGAGACTGCTATGGCATCCTCCCAAGCTGCGAGACGAGATGCAAGTAACGATGCGAGTCGAAATACAAGTCAAGTTGCAAGTCGAGATGCAAGTAATGATGCAAGTCGAGATGCAAGTCCAGATGCCAGTAGTGATGCAAGTCGAGATGCCATTAGTGATGCAAGTCGAGATGCAAGTCGTGATGCCAGTAGTGATGCAAGTCAAGATGCAAGTCGAGATGCAAGTCGAGATCCCAGTCGAGATCCCAGTCGAGATGCAAGTCGAAATGCAAGTCGAGATGCAAGCAACGATGCAAGTCGAGATGCAAATAGTGATGCCAGTCGAGATCCCAGTCGAGATGCCAGTCGAGATGGAAGTCACGATGCAAGTCATGATGCAAGTCAAGATGCAAGTCGAGATGCAAGTAGTGATGCAAGTCGTGATGCCAGTCGAGATGCCAGTCAAGATGCCAGTGATGATGCAAGTCGAGATGCAAGTCAAGATGCTAGTCAAGATGCCAGTCGAGATGCAAGTCAAGATGCAAGTCGAGACACAAGACATGATGCAAGTCTAGATGCAAGTCAAGATGCAAGTCAAGATGCAAGCCAAGATGCAAGTCGAGATGGAAGTCGAGATGGAAGTCAAGATACAAGTCGAGATGTAAGTCGAGATGCAAGTCAAGATGCAAGACATGATGCCAGTCGAGATGCAAGTCGAGATGCCAGTCGAGATGCAGGTCGTGATCCAAGGCGAGATACATGTCAAGATGCGAGTCAGGATAAGTGTGAACCGTGTCGCTGTTCTTTTTGTGGAGAGAAGGTTAAAGCTGATTGTTCGCATCTGAAACTAGACAAGGTCCCATCACATCTGTTACCCAACATAACTGAGCTCAATCTTTTAGGAAACAACATCCATCGTTTGGAAAATAGATCTCTCAGTTATCCAAATCTTACCATATGTAATATATCTTCCAATAGACTGAATTATATTGAACTTTATGCCTTTCAACAACTAAGAAACCTTGAAATTTTGCACCTTGATAATAATAATTTATCTATAACAGAGGTCTTTCGTCACAGACTGTTTAAACATCAGACAAAACTTAAGAAGCTCTATATAAACCAAAATAATAAATCTCGCCCTTACGATGCTAGCGTAGACCGAACATTAGAAAGTAGACACCAAAAAAGTGTATTCAAATATAGCTCAAATTCCAGTTCCAAAATGAAAGACAATCATCACATTGGGAATATATTTGGACGCGATGCTTACCCAGGTTGTGCTTTCAAAGATTTAGTATCATTACAAGAACTATACATTGATGGAACGGAAAAACTATATTTTGGCAAGGAATTCAAGAATCTGAAGCACCTCCGGTTACTATCACTAGGGGGGGCGTTTAGGACATGTTACACGCGTTACTTGAAGAATGACACATTTGAGAATGTGCCTCACTTACAGAATCTGGATCTGTCTTACTGTCTGTTGGTTGACATTGAACTATCATCTTTTGAAGTGCTAAAGAATCTAAGTAACCTCGAAATGTCACATAACAGATATCTGGGAATTCCAAAAATGGGACAAGCTATGTATGGATTGCAGAACTCGTCTCTGAGAGTGCTAAACGTAAACGGATTAGGACGATTAATGGGGCTTAGTACTATGTTGACAGCTAAAGATATCCAGTATCTAAAGCATACGAAATTAGAGGAATTGCACATTCAAGGAAACAGAATAGAAATAATTGATAGAAATGTAATGATTAACCTTCCAACATCTCTCAGAGGAATATCTATCAAAGGTAATCACCTTTCGTTTGGTCTTTATATGCTGGTATTGTCCACGCTGACAAATTTGGAGTGGCTGGATGCCTCCCATCAAAGTACATCGCATATTTCCTTCTTTGATACCGCAAGCCTTCATTCACGTCACCTTCTGCAACTGAATAGACACATACCTTTCAGTGGCAATATTACACTTTATGTTCCTCCAAATGTTACATTTGTCGATTTAAGTCATTCTAAAATGGTTTTTGAAGTTATTCGTTTCGAAATCGGCCCAAACAAACTTCGTGAAGCAGATATATCATTTAATTATTTTACCAGTTGGACGGGTCCCATCATAGGGCTAACACAGCTGGAAAAATTAGATGCTTCTAATAATTTCTGTGAATACCTAGCAGAGGGAGTGTTAACGTACTTTCCATCTTTAAAACATCTTGACTTTGGTTCCAATTACCTTGGTTATACCCTGACGGATGACACCTTTGGTGAAATTCCTTTTCTAGAATATCTCGACTTATCAAATAATAAGATAAGTTCACTTCCAAAGCTTATCTTCAAGAACAAAAATCTGCTTAAAATCCTTAATCTAAGTTCCAATTATTTGATGTCGTGGAATATAGAAATAAACAATTTTCATATGTCCGTTATAAATTTATCAAGAAACACCTTTGACGAAGTTCCATCTCTTCTGCGCCATCAAGTCAGTTGTATGGTAAGTAGGGATTTTCAGCTGTTCTTTAATGACAACCCTCTCAAGTGCAATTGCTTAACTTTGAATTCATTGAAATGGATGAGAGATCATGCTTCGAAATTACATAATCTTGATGACATCAGCTGCCGTGATGACAGCAACAGACGACTATTCTTGAAAGACATCCATCAAATCATCTTCGAGCTTGACAAAAAGTGTACCTCCTACCTAGGTATTTCTATCGGGGTTCTCTGTCTTGTGATGCTAGTTCTCTGTTTGTGCATAACAGGTATCGTGTACAGGTTTAGATGGAAACTGAGGTATCTTTACTATCTCATACGGATGAAACACAGGGGTTACCTTGCTGCTGGGGAGGAAGAAGAGGGTGGGCCACAGTTTGAGTTTGATGCCTTCATTTCCTACGCTGACGAAGACCGTGGGTTTGTTGTTGAGAACATGAGGCAGATATTGGAGGGACAGCATGGACTTCGGCTCTGTATCCACCATCGAGACTTTCTCGTGGGGGAAGCTATTGCTGCCAACATTCTAAACGCTGTCAAATCAAGCAGGAAGACGGTGATCGTCCTGTCAAGGAACTTCTTGAGGAGCTACTGGTGTAAGTACGAAGTGGAGATGGCCAAAATGGAGAGTATTTACACTGGACGAAACACACTGCTGGTGGTAGTCCTGGAGAATATTCCTGTGAAGGACCTGACCCCTGATATTGTGGAGCTGATGCGTCAAGACTCTTACGTAGAGTACACAGATGATCGGGAAGGTCAGGAGGTGTTTTGGCAAAATCTTGAACGTGCTCTACGTATTGTGTAGTTGGTTGTTAAGATGTAGGAGCATGATCTATGTGATTGTAGATGTTTCACAATTGATCAGACCTTTTTTTAATTTTCTACTTTCTTACATTTTACTTCAATGATACCTGGAGATACATTTTATCATTCATTTCCTTAAATGTTTTGTTGTGGTTTATTGTTGAGGTTGTGTGTTGTGCTTGGATTGATCTTCCCCCTCGTATTGTCTTCTCCATAATAACCTGATATATCTACAGTTTACCATGCATGTGTTATGGTAGGTGTATGTTTTAATATTATTACCGTTTTGTTTCTCCTCTGTGACATTATGCTGAGCACACAGAGGTTTCGACTTACATGTACATAGTCTTCGGTTGCTATACTGGAATCAGTTAAACTGTACATCTTCATGACTGCAGGACAGGTGTGTCAAGGATATGGAGTTTCAGACATTTGAAGCTTTCGGATATCATTTGAGTCACAGAAGGTCTAATAGTGTGTTTTCTATTGCGTATTACCTTGTTATTTTTCCTGTAGAATTAAGTGAGGCATATCACATGAGGGTGTGGCAGTGGTGTTTGACTTTACATTATCGTTCTACTGATGTTTTGGCATGCACTCAACTGTAACTTTGATCTGTAGGAGAAGGGAGTGTTTAGCACAAGTTTTTGAAATTACCCAAATTTCGTTATATAATTTTTTCTAGTGAGATAAAGGTTGAAACTTACAGATGGCTTTTCAATCCAAAATTAAAAAACAAAACAAATTTAATTATATATCCATGTTGTCAGGGGTTTAATTACATTCTTACATGAAACTAAAATGCACAACGAGATAAACATGTACATCAATGTGTTAGGCAATTCTCACTGAACACCCATTGCCTTCAAAGCTAGAAACTGAGCCACAAGACCAGTCTGATGTACCATCTCATCTCAAATGATGTGTTCAAGCAATAATATATTCTTATTTTTCACATGATTCTTGCTTACTTTTATCGACTGTATCTATGAACATATTGTAATTTTTACGTTTGTTTAAGAATAATAAATAAATAGGTTTGCTTTCATCTGTAGTAAAGAAATTCTTTTCACAAGAGTGAGTGATGCTCAACACTGCAGTGACCAATATCCCAACTACATGCATACTTGTACCATAAGGGACAGTAAATACTCGAGTCTGGACAAGAAAATCAATGGTAAAAATGACATGTGGCACCTGGGTCCAGCTTGGCTATGAAGTATATGTCAACAAGGTGATATCAATATGTTACACTGAGCATTTTCAACCATATTTGTTCTATGCATGGTCAATACAGTATGTGGCAAATCCGTCCTGAGATACTGATTTAATCATTGCATTGCATAGTGTCATGCATCTTATTAATTTTCATCCATTCCAAACACCTGAATGTGATCCTTATTCTGTACTCGTGGATCATTTAAGGGCAATTCAACAGCCTGATAATGAATGCTTCAAAACCGATAAACGCCTTCTACCAGTCATAATAAAAAGGAAAGCGTACCACTTTTCACGTTCGTGATTTCTTGTAATCTAATGGGAAGTCAGTACACCAAATACAATTCTCGCAACGCATTGACTGGGGACATGGAACGCTTATTCACCACACGAAAGGACAGTATTTCCAACAAGTATTCACGCTTGGAAATGAAGGTGTAATCCGAGGTCCATTTGACAAACGCTTGAAAAATATGCATCATTTGGCCGAGGTGTCTGATGAACGTGCAACCGGATAAAGGAAAGTATTAATGATATTGACCAGATGGAAACGTGTCAGCTTGCATAACAGTGTTTTGCTTAGTCAGGCCCTTAGCGCTTGCAGGTTATTGAGATTGTTGGAGCATTGATGCCAACTGAATCAACATTTGTAAAATTAAGACAATATGTGAGCCCGAATTTGTCAGATGGTGGAAAAATCATCTTGTTTTAGATTCGGTAATATGAAAACTATTCAAATACATACGAAACACCGCAGGCACTAAAACGTTTGAAAATTTACAAACAGAAGTGTTTCCTAGCACAGGGAATGCCCATATTTCAAACCCTTGCACATTAAAAAAATAGTCCAAATGTTCGAAGCCATGAGAATAAAAAATGTAAATTTGAAAAGTAAATGTTTACTTAGGTATTAACCTCAGGTATTAAGTTCAGCACATCCGGTCATAGCAGATATGACAATAACGACAATAACGGATGATGATCAAATGTTTCATATGTGTAGATGTATAGAAAATATACACCCAAAGTAAGTTCATATCTGGAATCATACGCAAATCATTGCATGCACTTCTTACTGCGTTCAGGGTTTGGGTCCTGTACAAACATTAGGCGACACGAATTAATTCTTGATAACTTATTTATCAATGGAAGTTGTAACCTAAAAGATGCCACAATAAACTGAAATGTAAGCACCCAAATACAAGGTAGCAGAAAGGTTCAATGTAGTTTTCAATAAATAAATATAAGGAACGCCAAAACAGGATAATCACAGTAAGCCTTGCTTTGAGAATAATTAAGTATAAACACACGAAGGTATATAAATAACATGAACAGTTTGTTGTATTGTCACTTGTGCTTCACATAAATCCAAACATCAAAGTAAAACAAACAAGAATTACATCGAACTTGACGCCACAAGTATGGTGTCGGAAAGACCCTCCGGTTAACCTCCATAAGTTGAGGCAATTGCTGTCAAGTTTGAAGGTCAGGTTTAAGATCCGCCATGGTAAAATGCAAAATGATTGTTGAATGTCGGCATTCCTGCTGTTTGATCCACCTCAATGGAAGATCTGCGTTCTATATGTGGTTTACAGGTTTATCAAGACCAATTAACAGCCAAAGGGAATAACACTGCACAGCGCTTGAGCATTTGCCACTATATAAGCATTTCCCCAACTATTTGTAAATATTTCAATGACATATGTGTTTGGAATAGAGATCTGGGGTTTGCCCCAGATGGATGGAATTATTTCCGACGCTGAAAGTTATTTGCTTAATCTACTAAGAATATGAAATGTCTGTTGTGATGTATAAATTATTGTTACTCATAATCCAACACATACAGGCAAATGGGTGAAATATATACAAAATGAACCCTTTATATTTCATGACCAGTTACACTCTAGTCATTTCAGTGTCAAGAGTAGCACATGACGTCGATACTAAGAGCGTCTCCAAGGTTATATAGCTTAAAACATGTGACAAAAACTGTGGTGCTCAATAGGGAGTGGTCTGCATCCAGGTGGGTACGTTGGGTCGGCATGTCTAACATTGGTGCTCAATACGGAGTTGATCCACATCCAGGTGTGTACGTTGGGTCGGCATGTCTAACATTGGTGCTCAATACGGATTTGATCCGTATCCAGGTGTGTACGTTGGGTCGGCATGTCTAACATTGCTGCTCAATTCGGAGTTGATCCACATCAAGGTGGGTACGTTGGGTCGGCATGTCTAACATTGGTGCTCAATACGGAGTTGATCCACATCCAGGTGTGTACGTTGGGTCGGCATGTCTAACATTGGTGCTCAATACGTAGTTGATCCACATCCAGGTGTGTACGTTGGGTCGGTATGTCTAACATTGCTACTCAATTCGGAGTTGATCCACATCAAGGTGGGTACGTTGGGTCGGCATGTCTAACATTGGTGCTCAATACGGAGTTGATCCACATCCAGGTGTGTACGTTGGGTCGGTATGTCTAACATTGCTACTCAATTCGGAGTTGATCCACATCAAGGTGGGTACGTTGGGTCGGCATGTCTAACATTGGTGCTCAATACGGAGTTGATCCACATCAAGGTGGGTACGTTGGGTCGGCATGTCTAACATTGGTGCTCAATACGGAGTTGATCCGTATCCAGGTGGGTACGTTGGGTCGACGTATCTGAACGCCGCCGGTATATTATCTCCCCCCACAGACGCTGAGTCGATAGGGGGGCGCTTCCTGGAGACACCAGGTTTGGGTTCAGCTCCTGATATGGAGGATGCACTGGGGAACTGAAGGTTCATCGATGCAGCTTTACCTCTGAGGTCAGTACTTGGTCTGATTTTTATGGAGGTCTTGAAGACCGGTCCCAGTGATCCGTCGGGCTTTGTAATGAATACTTTCTTGGTGATTCTTTTCGCTGTGGACTTCTTCTGGTACTTCCGGCGACACACGATATAGACAACCAAGCCGATGATTATCATTACCCCTAAGGCACCTAGTACCCAACCAATCACGTTGTTGTTGGTTTCTTTACGGTCAGATTTTGGCGCCTGGGTAACTACGGCAAAGCTGCTGTAAGATGCTGTAGGACGAAAAACATAATATTAGCAACAAAAAATATTTTCAAATCGTTCTGATCATCGCGAGTCTCATTTCAACATACAGTAAACTACATGTACGGTTGTAACGAACGTAAAGGGACCACTAATTTTAGTTCGTTATAACCGAAGTTCGTTTTGCGCATATAAACAACGTATATACAGCGTATATAAAGCAAAATGGACGGGACCAAAAACAGTTCGTTTTGTCCGTCAGTTCGTTATAAGCTTGTTTGTTATAAACGTAACTTACATGTACAGTATGTTAATTTCATAGCAGTCATAGCAATAATCATAGCAGTAAATATATTTTCATTTTGTCTTGTAACCAATCCGAATTTTATATCAATGTCAAGTTTGCACGTAATTGAAGAAAGGGTTCTCTTTCCGATATGATAAAAATCACAACATTTAAACCGAGACAAGAAATGAATAAATTCGAAACCAGAGGCTATGAACAATGTTACAGTCATATCACGACTTGACAATTTAATGTGGGAACACGGGTAGGTTGCTGACCAACCTAGAAACGTTACCAGAACAGGCAAGCAAAGGTTTCTGGCTCGCTCTGAGGTCGCAGCATCACAACGCGTATTGCGGCGCCCCAAACGACTGGGTCATCCGTACCCCCAGTGCCACTGGACGCTACAGGAACATACAGGTTCCCCACCGCGTGTCGTACACTCTACATACCCCAGTATTTAATGACAAATCCCTTGTACGTGACACTGTAGTCACTGTTGAAGTATAGCTTGAGGTCAGGTCCTGTGGACGAGAAGGATATGTCCGGAGCTGACAAGTCACCACATAATCGATCAATGAGAGAACTTGTGTTAGCTGCAAAACAAACATACAATGTCACTCGGATCCACTCGGGTCGTCTCGGGTTATTTCGCTACTCACAATACTTTGCGTGAAACTCTCATTTACAGATGTTGCGTAACTCAACAGTATAGTTAGCATAGAGAGGACGATGTTTGTGTTGCGTAATATCACTGCATAGTTCGTATAGATGGGACGATGTTTATGTTGCGTAATTTTACTGTTTAGTGAACATAGAGAGGACGCTGTTAAAAAGAACTTAATAATGTTGCTAACACCTTTCGTTTTTATATGTAAGAAACTAGCAAAGGATAAGCTAACAAACAGGTTCAGGACCAACGGAAGAGTGTGTTGTTGCATATGATAGCAACGTGAACGAAGGTTTCATTGTGGAATCATTCCATTGCTGGCCAAGATAACTTATTGGATTGACCTCAGATGAACATGAAGTAATGTTGAATTTGACCGAATATAGCCCCTATAGACTTTATAATACGCTTAATGAAATAAGAAAAAATTTAAATAAATTAAGTTTAAATTATGCAACATTTTTGTGTTCGTTACTTATTAATGTGTGTTTGTTGTTTAACGATATCTAGCGATATGACTGAGGCCTCCAGATAATCGAATCTGGACCGGGAAAAAATGTAAGCAACGAGCCACGTCGTCGGGGTACGATACCACGCAATCAACCAAGTCAGTATGACCACAAGATCCATTAACCCGCATCTTACGACCAGCACCGTTTACAGGGGGCCAACTCCGCTCCGAATCTCCACGGGAGCATTTGCCTTGGAGTGAGTGAGTATGGTTTTACGCCGCTTTTAGCAATATTCCACCAATATCACGGCGGGGAACACCACAAATGGGCTTCACACATTGTACCCATGTCGGGAATCGAACCTGGGTCTTCGGCGTGACGAGCGAACGCTTTACCCACTATGCTAACCGACCGCCCCCATTGCCTAGGAGAGACATATAGCAGTTTGAAAGAGACATAATAGTTCAGGTTTGTCTTTCCCGTTGACCCAGCGGACATCTATCTCTATCTCGACAATTGGTTTGCCATGCACATAGCCATATACTATAGTAAAGATCTTCACATCATATACCATCGATTATCAGTTATCAATTATATACTCCTTGTTACGATTTCCCTTGTGAATAGTTATTCCTTTTCATACGAATGAATACATGAACTTGTGATTCTTAACACAGAACACACAAGCGGAAGCTCACCGTCAATGACGTCGAGGTAGTCATACGCGCAGGAGCTGTGGTCTTCCATCTGGAAGTATTCCACGTTGATGTTGACCACCCAGGTGCCCCTGGAGCTGTCCTGACCCGAGGTGGTCAGCAGCCACGTCTCCGTGCTGTCGCTGTAACAGTGGGGACATTGGTCAGCAATAGCACTCGCATCATGAACAGGGGTCGCCAATAGTACTCGCATTATGAACAGTGGTCTACAATAGTACACGCATCATTATATATCGGTCAATAATAGTGAACGCATAATTTACAGCAGTCAACAATGCTGCACGCATCATTTACATCAGTTAACAATATCATGCGCATTATGAACACGGGTCATTAGCAGTGCAAGCATCATGTCATGGACATCCTTAATCTAGACACATTGAGTGAATCTATCCAGTGTGGCGAGAGAGAGTGACGGAACGTTGTTTTACATCGCTGTCAGCAATATTCCAAAACGGCTTATAAATAGGTTGTAAATAGTCTGAACAAAGCAGTTCCGTGGTTGACAGCATAAGTAACGACTATAGTCAGTCAGGAAACAAATGTTGGCCAGTCGATGATCATTACCCGGCTCTTGCGAAACATTTTGAACACTGAAGACGCCATTCTGCCTTAGAAAATCTTCGATATGCCTTGCCTCGGAATGAGATATTACAACAAAAGACCTAATACTTGACTCTAGATGTGGTGGGGCGGGGTTAATGATAAATTCCACGAAATACAACACTACCCAGCAAAAGAATGTACCCCCAGGTGAGCGAGTGAGTTGGGTTTTACGCCGCTTTGGACAATATTTCAGTTACGTTTACTACTGTGGCCACAAGGCATGGACAAGGTGCTGACAATAGGGGAGTCGTGATCAGGGCGACGCTGGGATTCAAATCCATGATCCTGAAATTCTGGATCCGTGAAGATCCGGGTAGAGATTAGGCCTTCGGCAACCCATGCAGTAAGAGGCGACCATGCTTGTCGTAAGAGGCGACTAACGGAATAGGGTGGTTGATGCATGTCATCGTATTCCAATTTCGTAGATGCTCATGGTGTCAATCACTGGATTGTCTGGTCCAGCCTCGGTTATTTACAGACCGCGGTCATCCAGCTGGGATATTGCTGAATGCGGCGCTAACAACAAACAAACAAACAATTTCTGAGATCCTGACACGCCTAGGGGACACAACTGTGCACCTTGGTAAACTTCGATGTAATCTTGGTGCAAACGGTACCTGGGGTAATTGCCAGGATAACCAGGAGACGTTAGCTCTTGTTCTTGATCTGTGACTTGAAGGACGATTTCCCCGATGGCTCGTGACCAAACTAAACATAGAAATACAATTTCACCCATTTGTACAGTGCTAGGACTATCTTAAGCCTATTAATTTGTTGTAAACAGAAGTGTTTGGGGTTTAACGACGTTTTAAACAGTATTTTTGTCGTATCACGACGTGCCAGCTTTATGTGGGAGGAAATACGAAAATGCTGTAGGCCTTAGATGATTGCTAGGCCACTGAGTGAATACTTATACATACATATATACTTACATACACAACAGAGAAGTGAATGTAGCATTAATTTCCTATTCATGTTGAAGGCAATCTGGAACAAAAAATAGGAATTCTTTTAAGCCGCATTCAGCTATGTTTCAGATAAATAACGCACGTGTGGATCTGTAGGGCTACAAAGGGGGTTCACAACTATGCCAAACCAACCCTGCCCCATCCAACCCCTTTTCATCCCCCGCCCAACAAAGTTGGCGGGGGATATAGAAACGGGCTCCGTCCGTCCGTCACGTTTCGTTTCCGGAGCATAACTCAGAAACCGTTCAATATTCTTTTCATCAAACTTTGCAGGTCTGTCAGGTACATGCTGAACTGGTGCCTTTTGCTATTTAGAAATTTTAGAAATTTTTATTTTTTACGTTTCCATGGCAACAAGATGGACTCAGGCTCCAAACCTTTCTTTTTTTTACAATTCGCATGACAAGTTCCACCTCGGTTAAAAAATGGTTAGGGTTTGTTTAGATATAATTATGTCATAAATTCTGCAACAGGGGCGGGGGATATAGCCACGTTAGTGGCAAACTCTTGTTAATCTTGAATCCGCCACTAAATTGGTCCCTTGAAAATAACCAAGTGGCTGATAGAATGAGCATACAAGACGTCGGGAAGTCACACAATTAGTAAGGTCACACATTGTGACCACCCGATCCTCATTTGCATAGGGGACTGGGGATCAAACATAATGGTTATTCGATGCTGGTGTATTTGATACGGGTATCATAGTTATATTTTAGACCTTATGTCTGAAGTGTTTCGACGACTGTTTTCAACCTAGTAACGTTTCGTGATATACTTTCTATTCTTCGGCGGTTTCATGCCCGAAGTGATGCAGGTCTCAGACGGTTATCACTTTGGTGAAACCCAAGAGCAATGGTATGATGCTGACAACCTGGAAACATAACAGGGGCGAACCGGGATTCGAACCCACTATCATGAAACATACATTTCCCTAATTCTTTAGAGCTCAATATTTCCCCTAACCATGGTCAGACCTTTCTAAAATACTATTGTACATATCAATCTATGGAATCCCAGATAGGACACTGTCGCGCTATGGTCAACGCGACAATGTCTTTTTAAGGACTGCATAGGCATCAGCAATGTTTTTAAAGTTAAAAGAACAAATTCGTAGACTTGTGCAGAGTTCGGTGATTCTTATTCACGAACCGACTTCTATGTTCCCTCCAATATATACAAAACATTTATATGGAAGTTGGAAGGCGTGCAAGATGTAGGACTACAAAAGTGATACACACGACACTTGCAGTATATACGTTATAAGTTACAGAATCATCTTGTTTCTATTCAACGAACAGAGCGGTACTCACAATATTAAGGTCGATCACCACGTATGTTGTATCTGAAATAACAAACTGCCGTCTCAACACTAGGGTCAAGGAAACAGTGTTCACGTATCCACGCGTGGCTCGTTAGCCCCTTCTGTGTGCTCATTGAATCAGAACAAATACCTGACCCAGATAATCACTGGATTTGTTTCGGTGACCAGTTGAGCCCAGCGTTCGATCCTGTTACGTGGCGTGTGGAGAAACGACTTGAGGCATTGTGCGTTACTGCTTGTGTATAATCTTCTTGTTGCCTGGCAACCTGGTCAAACACCTCGGACAGGGGTTTACCTGTACCAGATTCGATCCAATGTTTTACTTATGAACGTTTTTATACATTAGTTACCATACTACTTCAGGACATGCAGTGGCAGGATATTTCTGAGATGTCCCAAACTACACTCTAAATACAGAATGAAATGAGCGAATTGGTCTTAATGCCATGTAGAACAGAGGCTGTGGGTTAGCCTTGTGGTTAAAGCGTTCGCTTGTCACACCGAAGACCCTGGTTCCATTCCCATGGATACAATCTGTGAAGCCCCCTGTGTACCCCACCATGATATTCCTGGAATATTGCTAAAAACGGTATAAGACCATACTCACTCACTAACATCACTTAGAACAACAGCATTTCAGTTATACCACGGCGTGTCAGCATCACATGGGAGGAAAGCCTGAAGTGATGCAGGGCTTTGACGTTTACCGGTTTGGGTAAACCCACGAGCACGGGTTTGGTGCTGGCAAGCCTGCAGACATAATCAGGGCGAATCTGGGATTCGAACACAAAATCATAGATTCCTGGCACGCCTAAAGGCCGCAACAATTGAGGGGTCATAATGAGGACGACGTCGGATTCGGACTGACCACCAATTGGCCTTGGTGCGGGTTTGTGACGGGTGTCACCGGTGGGGCAGGATAAGCTCACTTTTCCGCGAACACCTGGTATCGACACTATTTGATAATTGGGGCGGTCGGGTAGCCTAGTGGTTAAAGCGTTCGCTCGTCACGCCGAAGACTCTGGTTCGATTCCCGACATGGGTACAATGTGTGAAGCCCATTTCCGGTGTCCCCCGCCGTGATATTGCTGGAATATTGCTAATAGCGGCGTAAAACCATACTCACTCACTCACTCACTCACTCACTATTTGATAAAGATTCATGAATACATGCTCATTATATAGTCATACAATCGACTCTGCTTTTAGCAGAATTACTTAGGAATATGAAAAGGGTTTAGCCGCTTTTATTTCCATGGGTTGGGTCATGAGAGTGAGTGAGTTGGGTTTAACGCCGCTTTTAACATTATTCCAGTTATATCACGGCGTGCCAGCTTAATGTGGGAGGAAAGCCCCAAGTGATGCAGGTCTCAGACGTTTACCATTTCGGTGAAACCCACGAGCACGGGTATAGTGCTGACAAACCTAGAAACATAATCGGGGCGAACCGGGATTCGAACCCACAATCATAGGTTTCTGGCGTGCCCAAGGGACGCAACTCTGCACAGCGAATCGCGGCGCCTTAGACGACTGGGCCACCCGTGCCCCCGTCACTATGTGATGATGTTGTTTTAACATTATTATCTCACATGCTAAATCTATTCTCATACCATTGGCGTGTCTGTCAACAAAGTCAACATGCGCATAAATGTGAAACATTATACAAGGATTCGTTTGTTATTGAGTTTAAATACAATATGTGCCTCCTTAATTGTAAAACAATGGAGGTAATTATATTTATTAAAGATATTTTTTTTTTTTTTTTAAAAGCACCATTATTTACTTTGTTTAATTTCAAGTGATTTGAAAACAGAATCATCTCCTAAATATTAAAATGTGTATGAGGTCATTATATTTAAAAATGAAATTTCTTCTTTTTCAAATCACTAGGAGTGTACCAACGAAAGAGGTTTTGAAATTAAGAATATTCTTTTTCAAATATCTGATTTTTGTATCTGAAAGCTACACCTTTTAATATAATGGTACCTCCTGTAACAAATCATGTTTCAAAAGCGTCCCAGTTGATACCCTACCCCCCTCCCCTAATGTTAAATGGTCTGAATTAGAATGAGGTAACATATCGTAAAATTCCTTTAGTGTCGTATCAATATGAGTTATTTGAAAAAAGTATTCATTATAAAGTATGGTTATTTCTGAAAGTCTACACGACTTATATAATGTGAATTCCTGGAACAAAGTCTTTATAAAACTCTAAGCCAGTACCCCATTCCCAACCCCGAATGTTAAATGCTTAAGCTTGGACGGAGAGTGAATTAAAATATGCAGAGACCTTTTAGAATCGTATTTATATTATAAGACCTCGTTTGTTAAACTTTACATTGATTTATAAAGTTTGACTCCATGGTTTCGTGGTCACTTCGTTTGCGGGCCCGTGAAGATCCGGGGTAGAATAGGTCTTCAGCAACCAATGCTTGCCGTAAAAGGCGAATGTGCTTGTCGTCAGAGTGCGACTAACGGGATCGGGTGGTCAGGTTCGCTGACTTTTACAAATTGCGTGTATCGATGCGCATGTTGTCCATTACTGTACTGCCTGGTCCAGACTCGATTATTTACAGACCGCCGTCATATAGCTGGAACATTGCTGAGTGCGGCGTTAAACAACAAACAAACAAACAAACACTTCGTTAATAAATCACCACTGTTAAATTCTAGCAAATAAGTGTCACAATGTCAGTATAATGATTATTAAAATAAAGGGTACTCCCGCGTCACGGGAGAGGGTACATTATCATTTAATCGTCACTTTCATTGATGACGTCATATTCAGGATAGTCCACATTCCGCCTGACGTCATATTTTGGTACTCGGGGAACTCCCGTTCTTTCTCCCCCTAACATACCACACCGGACGAGATCAATCCTGCTGACACTGGTTTTGGCGAACACGCGACCCCTCTCAAACTCTTCAACGCTCTTCACGCGGTTTTTATTCCGTGCTCGTCGTGCCTCCCGTGCTTTTTTCAAGGCATTCGGAAGACCTGTGGAGCGATTTTGGCCTCGGGGGCTCATGACGTCACTCTCGCTGGTTTCATCGGTGAATTTTACCTTCGGTGACTGATTCATCCTTTCGGAGGCGTACGACGTTAAGGTTGTTGCGTGTTTGGCTTCCGGAAGTTGAATAGGTTGAAGTCTCCGGGGAGACAACTCCATCATGCCCAAATGCGCGTAGTGGGATTGAGGATTGTTTAAATGTTTACCATCAACGTCATCATAACATGTCACACTTTGACCAGATTCCGGAACAGGGGCCAGACTGTGGATAACATAGTCATCCTGGTTGAGACGAAAAGAGACCGACTTCTGCCTGGGAGAACTAGATGTGCCGGAAGAGAAGCCTGACGTCATACTGGTGCTGAGTCTATCCGTTGTAGATGTCGTAGATCTGCTGCTCAAGTCGGACTCGTGCTTCAGTATGGGTCGTCTCGGTGTAGGAGTGGAACATATCTTCTTCCACACGTCGCCTTCGTTAGGGCGTTTTCTTGGCTCTATCTTAGCCTTGTTGGAATTGTGTATGTAGACAGACCCGATTATGATGATGACAACCGCTATACAGAATGCTACAGCGATGAGGATGCCGATAATTGATGTGGTTGACATGGCAACCGTGCTTGCGCCTAACCGTGATTCGCCTAATGTTGTGGAATCAGGTGGAGCTGTGGTTGTCGTTGTCGTCATGCACTCTTGTGTTGTTGTTGATGATGTTGTTGTTGTTATGGTCGGAGGAGAACCTGTATGAATAAATGAAAACATATATTATAATATATAATGTTATCCATCCCGTCGACGTTAGGGACAGCGTGGCTGACTGGGGGGCTGGCTGAGTGGTCATAGGCACTTCAAAGAGCTGTTCAGAGTTGCGTTCCTAATTATACGTGCCACGACAAGATTTGTTGGTCTGTCAGCACCATAGTCATTCCGTGGGTTTACCTAAGGGCTAAATATCTACTGCTTACGCGACTTTTCTTCACTCACTCACTCACTCATGCACGGTAACAGAGAAACCGTGAAGTTGATTCGTTTTGCCTTTCTCCAACTGGATGAACAATGACATTATTTTGTTTAGTAATGACATATATAATTGCATGTCACCACTTACTGAAGTACTTTATGTAGAATCCAATATGGCTGCCGGAGCTATCCGTCTTGAACAACACGTACATGGATGCACCGGAAGTGACGTAGGACGGCGTAGATATGCCACAGAATTTACCGATGACTGGAGCAGATGCATTCTCGCCTGAAAGACGAAAGGTTAACATATGAATAATACAGATAAATGATTTGTTTCCTTCTGTTAAGAGGGGGCACGGGTGGCCCAGTCGTCCAAGGCGCCGCGATTCGCTGGGTAGAGTTGCGTCCCTTGGGAACGCCAGAAACCTATGATTGTGGGTTCGAATCCCGGTTCTCCCCGATTATGTTTCTAGGTTTGTCAGCACCATACCCGTGCTCGTGGGTTTCACCGAAGTGGTAAACGTCTGAGACCTGTATCACTTGGGGCTTTTTACCCACATTAAGCCAAATAGCAGGATAAATTGAGATCTTTCTTACCGTCGTGTACTTGCACGAAGTCATATAGGCAAGAGGCACTATCCTCGATCTGACTGTCAACCACTTCCATGTGGATCACGTGACTGGGGTCGCTGGCAACGAGAAGCCACGACTCTTCCAGGTTACTGTAATCAGAATAATAGACAGCACCAGTCATATATCATACTTGTGTTGTAAATAATATTAGTTGTTTTTTAAGGAAAAGGTCACATGTATCGAATGGTTTCATTATGTGAACTATTTTTCTATTATTAATAATACAAAGATCAATTAATTTATATCGACTTTAATCGAAAACAAATGATGAGAACGGATAGTTCTTACTCGCCATATTTCACTGGATAGCTGGGCGAGAAGAAATACGTGTCTTTGGGCGTGGCTTTCAGCTGGGTCACACTGACACATGCGTCGGGGAGAGAAACTGAAATATACCTTATAATATAAAATATAACAATATATCGGTGGAAGCTATATACATGATAACACAAATGAGTGCATTCTTTTACTGCATTTAAGACACTGACCATTTTAATTGTAGGTTTTAAAGCAGTGAAATATACGTCATCGTAAGAGAATAATCACTCTCGATTATCTGCTAATTCCATAGGGCGTAAAAGGCAAAATACGAGAATTATATGAATGGATCCTTGAAAATCAGTCATGACACCAGGTGTTCACAAAAATAATAAGCATGAAAAAATGTTTTGTCTCTAACAAAATTCCCATCCCTAATCAGTCGAAAAAGGTGAACGCGAGAGGAACTGTGTACGTTAGCTCCGAGGCCGAGGCAGTGTCTCTGTAATATCACAACGTTAAGTTAAGAACAGGAGGAATGCCATAATATAAGGGTAACGCTTTTTTTCGGGGCATTATCATTTGCAGAAGCCTGAGGTCTTCCATTAACTGCCCGACGAAGGAGGGCAGTTGAAAAGACCGAGGAAAATAAAACATTACGTCGCTTAGCAACAAATGAAGATATTACATTCCATACATTGTCCTCATTTTACATATTGCAGTTATTTTCATAATGCAAAAAAACCCCAATAAAACATTACGTCGCTTATAACAATATATTAATGTCACCAAACCAAACACCACCAAACCAACTACTCACCAACAACAACCAACACACATAACACTCCTGTATACATATTTCCGGACTGAGGACCCCTGAGTGAACCACATCAAGACTGTGAACTCACTGTAACCACACTCTATAACGTCCAGCACACCTGCCCGAGTTTAATCCTGATATCAATGGCGTTATGTAAGCCGACATGCAACAAGTTAGTTTACTCTAAGTAGCCCAATGTCACTCTATTGTGGAACAGTTAAGTGGCGCTAAGGTGATTGAAATGCATGGACGTTAAGGCTTGCATGACGAGATTTGCATATTGACGGGTTGTTGAGCTTTGTCACAAGATTATGGATTGTTAATGAATTGCTGTGGATTATGATATTTTTGATAGATTCTTATCGGGATTTAACATTGATTTTGTTTAAATGTGAAGTCGATTTTGTAGATAGTGGGAATGAAACTGTATTTCATTATAGCCAGGTTTGGTGAGGGACTTGGGGTATAACACTACCGTTTTTGTTTTGTTTTTTGTGTGTGTGTGTGTGTGTGTGTGTCTGTGTGTGTCAGTGTCTGTCTATGTCTGTGTCCGTGTCCGTGTCCGTGTCCGTGTCCGTGTCTGTCTGTGTCTGTGTCTGTGTCCGTGTCCGTGTCCGTGTCCGTGTCCGTGTCTGTATGTGTCTGTGTCTGTGTCCGTGTCCGTGTCCGTGTCCGTGTCCGTTTCCGTGTCTGTCTGTGTCTGTGTCTGTGTCCGTGTCCGTGTCTGTCTGTGTCTGTGTTTGTGTCCGTGTCTGTGTCTGTGTCCGTGTCCGTGTCTGTGTCTGTGTCTGTATGTGTCTGTGTCTGTGTCTGTGTCCGTGTCCGTGTCTGTGTCTGTGTCTGTGTCTGTGTCCGTGTCCGTGTCTGTCTGTGTCTGTGTCTGTGTCCGTGTCCGTGTCCGTGTCTGTCTGTGTCTGTGTCTGTGTCTGTGTCCGTGTCTGTGTCTGTGTCTGTGTCTGTGTCTGTGTCCGTGTCTATCTGTGTCTGTGTCTGTGTCTTTGTCCGTGTCCGTGTCCGTGTCTGTGTCTGTGTCTGTGTCCGTGTCTGTGTCTGTGTCTGTGTCCGTGTCCGTGTCTGTGTCTGTATGTGTCTGTGTCTGTATGTGTCTGTGTCTGTGTCTGTGTCCGTGTCCGTGTCCGTGTCTGTGTCTGAGTCCGTGTCCGTGTCCGTGTCCGTGTCCGTGTCCGTGTCCGTGTCTGTGTCCGTGTCCGTGTCTGTGTCTGTGTGTCCGTGTCCGTGTCCGTGTCCGTGTCTGTGTCTGTATGTGTCTGTGTCTGTGTCTGTGTCCTTGTCCGTGTCCGTGTCCGTGTCTGTATGTGTCTGTGTCTGTGTCTGTGTCCGTGTCCGTGTCCGTGTCTGTGTCTGTGTCTGTGTCCGTGTCTGTGTCTGTGTGTCCGTGTCCGCGTCCGTGTCCGTGTCCGTGTCCGTGTCTGTGTCCGTGTCTGTGTCTGTGTCCGTGTCTGTGTCTGTATGTGTCTGTGTCTGTGTCTGTGTCTGTGTCCTTGTCCGTGTCCGTGTCCGTGTCTGTATGTGTCTGTGTCCGTGTCCGTGTCTGTGTCCGTGTCTGTGTCTGTATGTGTCTGTGTCTGTGTCTGTGTCTGTGTCCTTGTCCGTGTCCGTGTCCGTGTCTGTATGTGTCTGTGTCTGTGTCTGTGTCCGTGTCCGTGTCCGTGTCTGTGTGTCTATGTCTGTATGTGTCTGTGTCTGTGTCTGTGTCCGTGTCCGTGTCTGTATGTGTCTGTGTCTGTGTCTGTGTCCGTGTCCGTGTCCGTGTCTGTGTCTGTGTGTCTGTGTGTCTGTGTCTGTGTGTCTGTGTCCGTGTCCGTGTCCGTGTCTGTGTCTGTGTGTCTGTGTGTCTGTGTCCGTGTCTGTGTCTGTGTCTGTGTCTGTGACTGTGTGTCTGTGTGTCTGTGTGTCTGTGTCCGTGTCCGTGTCTGTGTCTGTGACTGTAAGTCTGTGTGTCTGTGTGTCTGTGTGTCTGTGTCTGTGTCTGTGTCTGTGACTGTGTGTCTGTGTGTCTGTGTCTGTGTCCGTGTCCGTGTCTGTGTCTGTGTCTGTGTGTCTGCGTCCGTGTCTGTTTCTGTGTCTGTGTCTGTGTCTGTGTCTGTGTCCGTGTCTGTGTCTGTGTTGAGGGGAAGTGGTAGGGCAGGACATGATTTTGCCCGTTACGCACATTGGAATTTATTTCCGCAGATAATCCAGATTGATTATTCTCCGGCATTCACGTTCTATATTTCCTCCCTTATAGTATGCACTCATCTAAACGATGATCTACGTTTGGAATTTCAGAACTGAAATAATCTATTTTATATTTTTCACTGGCGATTAATTGGCCGCTTGTCACTCTATTGAACCAGGTTTGATTCTTAAATAATAATGCCTGACGTCCATTGCCTTAATTAGCGTAAAATAATTCACTACTTCAGGCCTAGTTGTGAAAGTGTTCGCTTGCCACTCCAAAGGGGCGGTCGCGGGCTTGATTCCCCACATGGATGCAATGTGTGAAGTCCATTTGTGGCTCCCCTCGCCCTGACATTGCTAGAATATTGCTAAAAGCGGCGTAAACATATATTCACTCATTCAATTACATGTGACGTTAAGGGACTGCAGTGAGTGAGTATGGTTTTACGCCGCTTTTAGCATTATTCCAGCAATATCACGGCGGGGACACCAATATGGGCTTCACACTTAGTACCCATGTCGGGAATCGAACCCTTGTCTTCGGCGTGACGAGCGAACGCTTTACCAACTAGGCTACCCGACCGCCCCTTAAGGGATTACATGTACAAGTATCACACTCAACTATCTTGCGGTGAAGCTTATGATTCAGGTAAATGCTGAAATGCTTATTTTCTTAACAGTAGAGTGTTCGTTTATATTTTTCGCCAACGGTAAAACTGGATACTGAAGTATTGTTTCATTTAAGGATTAGCCGGGTGAGCTCAGGTGCTATGTAGAGTTGTGTCCCTTCTCTCTACTGTAAATTTGAATCCGTGCTTCTCACCCCCGACCCACCTGTTGGTTTACGATTTCGCCAATATGAAAGATTGTCTTGTCCAGACTTGATTATTTACAGTCGCCGTCATATAACTGAAATTATGCTGAGTGCGGCGTTAAAAGCCAACTCCAAACAAGCCAATCCAATATAAAAATATTTTATGTCCGTTACCTGTTGAACTGTACGAATATAAACAAGAGTTAACTCCCCTGCATTGTGAGATACACTTTCTTTTCATATGCATAAAATAATGAAGCAACTGAAACTTGATACACCTTATCTTCATTCCAACTATGTTCCATTATGTAGATTTACGTCAGGCACTTCAGACTGACTATCTGTAGATATAAACTGGGCGGCAAAAGAAAGTATAGGTCGAGTTCCATGATCGATAAAAAAATAACAAGAAGAGGTTTTGTTGTGAATTATAACATTGTCTAGGGAGGGGTAACAAATGATTGATCAACCACAGTTTGAATGAAATTGTGCAATCACAGGTAATGTAAGCTCAAGGTAAACAATGGTGGGGTAAGAAATTTCATTTTCAAAAGTTGTCTGAAATGTCGCCGAAAAATTGTCAGACAAACTGCAAGTTCATTGTCGACACAGTTGCCTTTAATGGCGTGTATGACGTCCAGCTGCCTCAATGCATGCTGTGATACATCTTCTGATGACGTGGACTGGAATCCGTTGCCACTCGTCTCTCAGGGCCTGCTGCAATTCTTGTCTGTTGACGGGAGGCTGATGGCGTGCTCTAATCTGTCTGTCAAGACAGATGTTCAATAGGATTCATGTGGGGTGAGTGGGCACGCCGGAGCAAAACGTCAACGTTCTGCTGGTTTAGAAACTTTCGGGTCAGTCTTGCAGTATGGGGCCTGGCATTGTCGTGTTGAAACAATGTCCCCTGCTGTTGGTTTTGTAAGAACGGAAGCACAACTAGCTGCAACACTTGGTCTCTGTACTGCACAGCGTTTGGTATAATCACCAAGTCAGTCTTCTGATACCGCCCCACACCATGACACCTCCCCCGCCGAATAGATGGACCTCTCGAATACACGCCGGAGCCAAACGTTCCCCTCTGCGTCGATAAACTCGTTCTCTGCCGTCATTTCGAAACAAGTTAAACCGACTTTCATCAGTAAACAGCCCTCGACGCCAATTTCTCACTTGCCAGCGTCGAACCTGCCTCGCCCATCGCAGTCTCAGGCGTCGATGTTGCGCAGTTAGTACATTCCTCGGAAAGGACGATACGCTGGGATTCAAGCAGAACGAAGTCGTCGTAGTACTGTACTGTACGTTGGCTAATGGGATGTCCCAACGCTGTTGCTGCCGTCGCCGTCGCCGTTACGAATCTGTTTCGCAGGTGAATGAGCCGTATCTGACCGTCTTCCAGTGGTGCTGTCACTCGGGGTCGTCCGGTTCTAGGCCTGTCCTGTGTCCTCCCTGTCTGCCTGTACCGTTGAATCAGCCTGGTTACTGTCAATGGTGCACAACAAAACCTTCTGGCAATTTGGACCTGTGTTGCCCCCATTTCGGCCATACCGATGGCTCTCTCTCTCTGCTCCTGTGACAGTCGTGGCATTTCTTTTGTGTGCTTTCATCACGTGTGGTTATACCCTGCAGACGAACGCATTTATACAGCCAACATGCACGTGCAGTTTATGCCATAGGCGGGAAACCTGTTTCACCATTTTTTTGTCACCGCACAAGCGCCATCAAAGGTGGCGCGTTCGTGTGAGGTGTTTTTGGGTACCTGTTCCTGGGCAGTCATATTCCCAATACCCACTTTCCACTAGTTATCGCTGTTTTTAGGAAAATTACAAATTGCCAACCTATACTTTCTTTTGCCGCTTAGTTTATTATCCCTCCGCTTCTTTCCTCGCCAACTTCGTTCGTTCGTCACGTCGAAGACCCGGGTTCGATTCCCGACATGGGTACAATGTGTGAAGCCCATTTCTGGTGTCCCCCGTCGTGAAATTGCTGGATTATTGCTAAAAGCGGCGTAAAATAAATCTCATTCACTCACTATTCCTTCCGAACCGAAAGGATAGAGTATCGTGT